ACAAACAGCACCCTATGCAGGGATGATCAGGGTGCATGCTGTCCAGCAGGAGAGGATCCCCTCCCATCCCCATGCTCCCTTTGGTTAAGTGCAATTGTAGAAAGCCCCACCTCAGAGCTACCTACAAGACACAACCACTCCCTTCAGATTCTTTTTTTAATTATTATAGTATTGTGCTCTCTCGCAAACTCTTCTCTGGAAAAGTATCCCTTCGAGTTTCATAGTAGGCATTTAACAATGTGTTGCCGCTCATCCCATCTCTCTCTTTATAGTCTTGCTTCCAGTAAGGGCCCAACGTGTGGCCTGCTAAGACAATCCCAATAGTCCACCATGATTCTTTGTTAATTCAATTTTGAAATCAAAGTAATTATTTAAAAAGCAAAACAGTGAGTCTTCTGTCCTCAGTGGATGGTGATCCTTTAATCTGTGCATGCACCTGCATCTGTAGTCCAGTTTCCTGCCTGCAAACATGCTGAGGTTCTGTATCCAATCAGAGCATATCCCCATATCCCAGTAAAGCCCTGAATTGGAAAGGGCAGATTATAAGTGGCCCTGGATGACATTTGATTGTGCACCCCTACTCTGAGGAGGAGCCTTTCAAAGAAATTAAATATGCAGATGCACACCCGAAAACATAATGAAATGACTGGGAGGGCCTGTGCATGTATCCAGTTTATGTGCACAACCGTGGCTATTGCATACAGGACTCTGAACCTGGCTCCTTTGGAAATTTGGCTTCACGTTGCTGTAGTGTTTCGTGCATAGACTGCAAGTGAACCCTTCCTGGGACCAAATTCTGGCCTTCTGTGTAAATACCCCTATCACAGGCATAGCATTAGCTTGGCCTTCAACTTGTGTGACTTGAAAACCACTCAATGCCTGTAATACACTGGTCTCTTGAACAGAAGTATAAAAGATCCTATCACGTTGCCATTAAAGTCAGTCAAAAATTTGCCATGCAATTCGATGAACCTAGGCTAAAGGCCAAAAACAGTATAGAAATGATAATAAGTACAGTAAGGTAAGTTAATATCAGAAGACACCTTTATAGGCGGAAGTTGAATGATGCCAATTATACAGTAACTATACACATGGGTATTGCCAGCAAAATCAGTTCTTACATCAAGTGGCAGAATATGTTTGTTCTTTAAGAAAGAACTGCA